AAAGGTTTTGGGGCCCATTGTACTATAATTATAATAAGGAGCCCCAAAGTAGTATCGGTGATTATTTAGGCCCCTATAGTAGGCTTTCAGGGCTTCCTCGCTGCACTCTGCAAGTATCTGGAGCACTGCTGCAAGTCACCGAGGATTCCGCCACCTCCACGTCCTGGGCCAGCTTCGTCTTCGCGATCTCGTGGGCAACAGGGCTTAGACTTTAGGGGTTTAGGGTTTAGGGGCTTGGCGTTTAGGGTTTAGGGGTTGCGCACCCACGAATCACAGCCCGGTATACGACCACTTTAGCCCAACCTAAACGGAGATTCCTAGATCCAATCCACCTGCGCTTGATGCTCACGGGCCCCCGAACCCCGCAACACACGAAACCAGTCAAGACACCCAGCAGAAACAAAAATGGCATTCAAAAGATTAGTAGTAACAAAAACTAAACCTGAGCACAATCATCATCTGCCTGCTCTCGCGTCTGGCTGTCGTTCCATTCAATCAGTCGCTTTATCGATCAATCATTCAATGTCATTCAATCAATCGATTGCATGGACAAGCAGGCTCTCAGTCAGCCTGGCAGTCAGTCAATATCTGAAAATGTGCGCATATGCATGTGTGTATGTGTCTATGTGTGTATGTATCTATGTATCTACCTCTGTATCCATGTATGTGTGTATGATGTACCTATGTATGTATTACGTATGTACATCTGCATGCATGTACGTGGGTATGCACGTATGTACGGTATGTACGTGTGTATGTCTGCGTGCATGCGCGTGCGTATATGCCTTTGCACATGTCCACATGCATGTGCAAGCACACACGTATGCGCATGCGCCTTTGCATAAGTATCGGTATATGTATGTACATGCATACTGTATCCACATATGTCTATGTGTCTGTGCGTGTATGTAATTGTGTATGTATGTATATGTATATATATATATATATACACATACATGCACACATATGTACACGTACTGCAAAGTGACCTAAACGAGAAACGGTTATGTGCATGCACAGATACAGGCACGCATGTGTACGTGTAGCCGTGCATCCATCCATCCATCCATCCATCCATCCATCCAATCCATCCAGCCATCCATCCTTCCATGCATCATACTCTTCTGCAGTGGATCAATCTTATGCTCGACTATGCTGAATTTCCTCATACTTTGACATGATATGTTCGAGTATGACATGAAACAAGATTTTGCTCCATTGTGATTCAATATACTATTAGTTATTTCTATCCTATCCTGCTCTGTTCTATTGCAATATGTCATGTCCTTTATTACGTCGCATAGTAGAACATGCTATGTCATACTGTACCGTGCTTTGCTGTGCTACACTTTGTAATTTAGCTTCAACCTTGACGAACCTGTGTCATATTTTGAAAAGCTACGTGCAATAATCTTATGCGACATCATGCTCACTATGTATTTTTGTGGTGTACTCTGCCTTATTTGGTTGTGTCATGTCGCTTCATGTTGTATCGTGAATACTGTGCTGTAGTGTAATGTTATGTCATAAGATGTGGTAATTACTATGGAGTGCATTACACTTCAGTGCAATACGCTCCATTGCATTGCATCGTGCGACACTGCATGCAAGTGTATGAAAACCTATATAAACCTATGCTAAGATCTATGCTACTATGCTATACTGCGCTGAATCACATTCTTTCAAGAGGTATAATAAGTACTTAGAGGATCATGGGACTTAGTAAGTAAGGTTATAAGTACCTTAATTGGGGTTATAAGTATAGCTACCCTAATTATAACCCTAGTTACTAAGTCCCATGATCCTTTAAGTATGACCCATAAACTGCCCCATGAGTGCAACCCATCGCCTGGAGCTCGGCGATGCGGTCTTCGCATCCCGGCACCTCGGCGTGGATCAACCTTACCTTTGGTCTATAAGGGTTACTATAAGGGATCTATAATGGGTACTATAATATAGTGGCCGTAATAATCCTATAACTTACCTTTGGTTAGTAGGGAATGGAGGAATGGGGTACAACTATAACTACTGTTACTACCATTCTTCCACTCCCTACTAAACAAAGGTAAGCAATGTGATGTGATGGTGAGGATGATCAGGATGATGTTGACGACGATGACCATGTGGAAGACAACGAAGTGAGGAATGATGATCATCTTAATACCCAGTAAACAAACCCAAGACGACTAATTATTACCAGTATTCAGCAAAGGGCTCCGGGGTCTCTTGCAAGCATTGGCTTTGGAGCTCCCAGCACTGCAGAGCTGGAGCTCCGCAGCTCCCCTCATTCAGCATGCCTTTTCAACTATGATTCCAAACAAAGAGCAGCCTCATGCCATAGGTACGGACCGGACTGTTTCTTTGAGCCCGCCCGTGTCTGAGACGGTCAGTTACGCGAACTCCCGTCACACCTGAATAAACTACTCAACCTCAGCCCTTAGCCGATTGAACATCACGCCGAAACCCGAATGCCTCCAGCCTTTGGACAAACTACACGATCACAAGTCCTCAGCCCGTTCGATCATTCCTGCAGCCGGCCTTTGTACGCAGCTCCTTCAAGACGCCATCGATGCGGCCCTGACAGTCTGACCCTTCCGGCTCTGTGCGAACTGCTGACACTCTCCGAAAATCGCCCTGCCTGCAGTTGCGTTTTGAGCTCCTCAAACTCCTCGAGCGTGACAAGCACCGGCTTCTTTGGCATTGGGCCACGACTTTGCCGCCAACCCGGGCCCGATGCGATGTGATTCTACGTGGATTAGGCACGGTTTCGAGCTACAGTCAGAACTAGAAGACCATCGCGGGGCCGGGATCGGAAAGAAGCGGGTCTTGACATGACTCACTGACTCAATGCATCGTTGCCCCCGGCAGTTACAGCAATGTATTCGTTTGGAGCACAGCGCACTCAATAAATCTGTGCTAATCGAAAGCTGTTGCTTACGTGGAGCTTGCTGCGACTACTTTGAGCCCACAGCTCCGTCACCGGACCGAAGCATACCGGCTTTGCACTTCGCTGGCAAAACGGCAGCGCACAGTCCTCGATCAAGGTTGCATGGCAGAGAAATCCAAGGGTAGAGGTATGGGCCCCTAATACCGCTTTCAAGAAAATTCGCCTCGGCCCCGGCCGAAGGGGTCAGAGGTTCCTATTCGGATTTCCTCTATTCCCCCGCCTCCCGCCCCCCCGCTTTCCCGATTCATTATGCTCACTCCCTGACGTGGCCCTGTTCCCCTTCCCCCCGCCTGCCTTCCCGCTTTCCCAGATTCTGTATGCTCACTCCCTGCAGTCGGGTGTTTGGGCCGAAGGGCGCCAAGGCTTGCAACACTGTGAGAGTTTACGACGACAGGGGACTGTAATGTAGCATCTTTACTTGTTGGGGGCCCCTAAACCCCAGCCAGCCTCAACGGCCCTTACTTAAGGCATCCCGCCGCTTGCGAGAGTCTTGGTATCCAGTGTTTCGGAATGACGACACCAAAATTCGTACTGATACTACCACTACTAATACTACTCACAATCATCCTGCTTCGTGTTGCTATGAACATTACTTTTACTATAAGTGCGATTCCAACTGTTACTTTTTTCCTACAAGAGCTTGCTGCAGATAGTAGCCACTCGCCGCATGCGCGTACAGCCGGGCCGAGGCGGACGACGCGCAGCGTTTCAAATTAGGGAATTCTAGGGACACTTGGTAAGGATCCCCGGGTTAAGGGCCCATACTTAGGGCCCATGGTTTCAACCCTAGAAAGGAATCTGCGGAAGTGGCCCAGGAGACCTCATCACGATGCCGTCAACAATCCAGAATCATCCAGGTCTTCAGCTTTGAACCCGCGACCCGAGATCATGAGGAAGAGTCCTATGAAGCAACCACATGACCTTCAGACTGCGGCCTCCATATCCCCAACCATGGTCATCTTAGGGATCTTGAGGCCCGAGCGTGCCGCAAACCCTCAACTGAAGAGTCGCCGTCAGGTTACAAGCTCGGGCTTGTTTTTCTCTCGCGGAAAATCTCGTGAATCCACCGTCGTCCCTTCATCCCCTAAACAATATAGGGTTCCTTTAAACGGTTCTTATAACGGGGAGTATAAGGGTTACTATAAGGGATCTATCAAGGTACCTTCCTTCTCTCATTCGCTGCGAGGGGCAACGGCCATTCCGCAGCGCCAGCTTCGACTCCTTGAGACATCACCCGTTTAAGCTTATAAGTGGGGTTATAGGGGTTTTAGGGCTCCTTTAAGGGTTCGATAGGGTTTACGGATTAGGGCTTTAGGTTATTTATAAGTGGGGTTTTAAATCCCCCGATACGGGTTATAGGTATGGTTTCCGTACTTTTAACCCCACTTATGACTACCCATGAACCTCCAAGTAGATGAAATTTGTAGAAACTCCACACGCGAATGCACTTTCGATATGTACACATATGGATGCGTCTGTGTGGACCACTATGACTTTCGAGACAGACATGCACATGAGGTAGAGTAGACTGCTTGCAAAAGTGTGTGTGCGCATCTCACACGCGATGGAATGTCTTATAAACCGGTTCTCATGTCAAGTGATACGGTGATAGCGGAAAGTGGCTCTGAAGGTGATGCACCTGCAGCACGCCCTGCACCCGATCTGGCAAGCCTGGCACATGCTCACCAAGACCAGGCAGAGGCCAGAGGCTTGATCTCCATTATGTGAGACAACCAAACATGAAAAACCTGTTTAAGCCTCGGGCGCTTGGGCCCGCGGCACAGCATCTCGCGAGCCGCGGCCTACGCGACCGCACCAACATTGTGTTACAAGAATTTTTCCAACATGAGCCATGACTGATCGTGCCTGGAGACAAGAGGCAACGCAGGCCTTAAGCAATCCCTGGCCCAGAGAAGTCCAAGACAAACCCGCGACACCCCGCACAACGCGCATAGACGGGGCATGCAACACTGGGCACCCCCACACATGAATTCCTGAACGCCGGGTCCGCGGGATGTTCCCGCGGCCCGCCAGCTTGGGGCGGCCCGGCGTTCTAAAAAAGCTGCGGTGCCCTGACCCGGCTTGCCAGGGCCTCGTCTTCAAACCCCACCGCCACACCGCTATCTTCTGAGGCACCGCTTGAAACTCTGGGCGAACTGCGTAGTATCGCAGCATCGTGACATACTCCTGATTGCACCATCAGAGCTCTGGCAAAACCTCTGCCAGCTGCCAGCTTCTTTCCTGTTCGCCCCCGACTCGCTCCTCTGTGGCCAGGGCCGGCATTGGCTGAGCCTCATCCTTCGTCTCGGACCTGAGTTGCTGTCAGCAGCACCACTAATGGGCTTATATTGCATAAGTTTGCTTTTAAACACCTATGCACTACGACTCGTCTGACATGTTGCGTTTCATGCTGCTTACTCTAGCTTGGTGCGCGATATCTTCTAAGCCTTGTAATCTCGAGGCACAGGTTGAGCGTGTAGTGTAGTGCCGAACGACGACAGAAGGTATCATCGCCGCGGCTTGAATGTGTAAGTTATCTGAGTGCTTCGCTCCTCTGTGGCCAGAGCCTCCATTGGCTGAGCTTCAATCGTCGCCTGGGCCCTGAGCGGCCGTCAGCAACAGTGTATGTAGCCTTTGAGCTTACAAAAGCTTTTCGACGCAGCAGCCTGGGCTTCTTCATCAATCGTGCAACCACATCCTCCACATCCTAGCAGACGCAGATGGCCAGCAGATGGCGCATGAGCAACCCATGAGCAATTCTGAGCTTGCTGCGCTTGCTGCTGGGCCAAGGAGGGTCGGTAGCGGCTTCGCCCTCAGGGCGCCCGCGCTGATCGTTCTCACACATATCATCAAACAACTCGGGTTGAGACTCACCTGCCGTCGGCATCGGGTCTGCCTTCATGCGGTGCATCGTGGAATGCAGCAGTCCTCCCTCCACCCTCCCCATTTTCCCACAAGTCTGTCCATGCACTTTCTCCCACCTTCTCATGGAGCCAGTCAACGTAGTCATTTCGATTCAGAAATGCCTGCCAGCGACCAGCGTGCAAAAGAAGGCTTATGACTTCTCAGCGCATGCCAACGAGCCTTCGATCGCCACGTTGACATGATTTCACTGCCCCCCTTGTCTGAGCTGAGACGTACTGCACTCACTAGAGCTTGGAGCAAGAAGCATACATTTGCAAGATACACTGACACAGCTGGATAAAGAGTAATAGTCGAAAGCTGCTATTTCACTCTCTGAGGGAAGTTGCTGCGCTTGCGCATGACACGTATGCTCGCTACTGTCGCTTTGAGCAGCTGGAAGTCACGGGGCCGAAGCAGATGTCGACTCTGCACCAAGCTAGAGCAACGGCAGCATCCAATCCGCGATGAGGGTTGCATCAGATCTCGCCATTCTGTGAATTGGCTTATGCTTTCTGCACCCCCCCCCCCAGAGCCCTGGCTGGTACACCACAGTGCCAGAGAATCATCGCAGCTTAGGGTCCCTTCTGCTCGACCTCTTTTTTGGCGTTTGGCCACGCTCAATGCTCGGCCGTGCATGATCAGCCTCGGAGGTGGCTTCGCATGCAGCTACAAGATGTTCATGCGTTTTCTTATATTGGGGGTTAAGGTCTAGGGCTTGTCGGTTTAACAAAATTAGATGATGTAGACTTCTTCTTGTTGTATGCATCTCCAGCGACACTCCTCGACAACTCTCAGCTGCCAGGATTCTTAGGCCCTCGCCTTTTCCCCAACCGCTGCCGTCTCCATTCCAGCCTTTCTCGCCGCCCCAGCCCATGTCGGCCTCGTCCGGAGCAAATCATGGGCATTGTGTTCAAAAACCTGTATGCATGCGTATGGCCTATACAAAGGCAGAAGAACGCATGCATGCATGGAATCACGCACTGAATCACATATTCGCACAAACAGACAGACACACAAACAAACTGACAGACAGACAGACCGGCCTATGTATATACGTACATACATGCATACATACATGCCGACAATTGCGGGCAGCAGCGGCACATGCATTTGGTTCACAGGGTATCCGGGGCAGAAACAGTAGCCACTCGGCATATCGAAACTGCGCCACGGAGCCTGTATTGATTGATCATGTCCTGGTTAATACGCGAAAGCATGCCGATTAATTGTGGGCCGTGTAACAACAGCTGGGCTTGCTTTTGGTAAGATGAACATCGCGCTCACTGAATCTTTTGCATGTGTGTGCACATGCTCCTGTCTGACGTGAAGTTTGCGAAGAACAAACATGCCACTTTAAACAAAATCCAGCAGCGCTCTAACCTACTGTTTGCACGGGCATCATCCAACTCCCTGTCCACGCCTTTCATGTACGCCTTGGGACGCTCTTCCAGTCTGTCTCCGCATGTCCGTCTGCACATGTCTGAATGTCTCGCACAGTCTTCTTTGTGCATCGTCGCACCTATCGTAAATGTTACACGAGAATTCACCGAGCATGTATCATCAGGACTTGGATGGTTGCACAAAGCACAAATTGAACGACTAGCACACGGCTGAGATCCTTTACTTTTGCGTTCGACTACCTAATCTACGTTGTCATTGATCTCGATTACACTTGTGAACGTCTTTCGGCTACATGATGCTTGTACTTCATTCCGCTCAGGCTTGTGTTTGCGGTATGGCTGCGCTTCCTCCCGGGCCTTTTTCCTCGTTATTAAGGATCTGCTTGTCAAGCTCTTTCATACCTATAAGTACCTTAATTGGGGTTATAAGTATAGTTACCTTAATTATAACCCTAGTTACTAAGTCTAAGTCCCATGATCCTTTAAGTACCGATCCCCAAACCCGAGGTTACGGACTGAAGCCCTGGACCACCCTCTCATCGCAAGCTCTGAAGTCTGAGGCTGGTGGCCACAGGCGGCCACACGCTGAGGGCGCAGCGCAGCTTCTGCTGCGGGTCTTAACTTACCTTTGGTAGTAGCTAATGGAAGAATGGTAGCAATATGTAGCAATAGTAGTTATAGTTGTACCCCATTCCTCCATTCCCTACTACAGTAACCAGAGGTAAATCAATGAATCTCGTTGCTGCGGACGAACCTCACAGTCATGGCACCAGTGACAGTGTTGCTTTCTGCCACACATCCACAGTGAAGGGTCGCGGCAAAGGCTGCATCAGCGTCTTTTCTTCGCATGACAAAGGCAAGACGGGCAGTGCCACGTCTGCGTGCATTAACCGGCAGCGCAGCTTCAGCAGCTTCAGTTACCTGCTTGGTCCGCATCGGCACTGGAGTAGTTGTTGTTGCCGTCCTGGGCCGCAAGGAAGTGCCCAAGGCACGCTTCAAGCATGACAGCCCTTCGTGGAGCTCTTAGCATCTGATACCCGAACTATTCACCAAGCTCCCGGCCATGGGCTTTCCGTCCAAACCGAGCTGCCCGCCTCAGCAGCTCATGGCAAACATGCCCTCCTCATTCACACTACCGTTGCAGCAACCCCGAATCATCCCGTACAAGCGAAGTCAGAAGTTGAAGCAACGTCTGCAGGCACTTGCCCTAAACCCTAAACCCCAAGAGACCCTGCTACGAGACCCCAGCCCTTAAATCCGCTCCCGTTAAGACCCAAGGTGCTGTTGACAACGATGATCTCCTCACTTGGTGTGCCGCTCCTTGGCCAAACAATGTGATAGTAGTAGCAATAGCAAAATAAGAATAAGACCGAGAATAGTAGCAACAACAACACGAATGGTGGAAGAACTACAGTGGTAATGATCACAATAAGAGTCAAAACCCCCCAAACTCCGACGCTCTGCCGGCAAACGCAAGAACCCAAATGTAAAGCCCACTTTAGGATCAGAGCCGTCGCTGCTTCACTGCTACTAGTCTTTTTGCTGTTATCACCACTTCTACTAGTATGTTTGTGATCATGATTCTACTGCTATTCTGAGCCATTCTTATTATCACTCATATGATCACTGTTATGATCATTTGCTCTGGTTTCTCGTATGTTCGTTTGTTGTGCGTTTAGATGTGTAGATTTGGATAATATTGTAATTTGTTATTTTATTCTTGGAGCCTCCGGCCTGGAGCCACGCTTCTCCATCTCCAGGACGACGTCCATCCCCGACCTCAACGTGTCGTACTCGTGTGCCCTTGAAAGGAACCGATAAAGGAGACCCTTAACCCTTAACCCTAAACCCCTGAAATGGGAAGCCTTATGGGACCCTTAATGGGAAGCCTTAGAGGATCCCTTAACGGGAAGCCTTATGGGATCCCTGAAATGGGAAGCCTTATGGGATCCCTTAAAGGAACCGATAAGAGACCCCCCCCTCAAAGGAAGTCTGGAAGTCTTTAAGGAAGTGTTGCAGGATCCCCGTAAGGTCCCTGATAGCTCCTAAGCTGTTGCGCTATCATATGAAGGGTTCTAGAAGGGTTTGGGATGCACGTCGGAATAAGGTAGCCCTAAAGTCCTAACGCCCTCAATTGAATTTTGGTAGCAGAACGTACAATGCATGATATCATACTGCCCACAATCCATCTTAATAATTAGGGCCCCTGCTACAAGTCTGCACGTGTTGATTCAGAGACGGCTGGGGGATGCAAGCCCGGCGACTAAGGCTGCCGCAGAACTCGTCCAAACACCACGTGCTTGTCATCCAGCCAGGGGGTTGCGGCCAGGGTGATGAAGAACTGCCGGAAAACTGAGTTCTTGTTAAGGGCTTTTATCTACGTTACCATTACTGTAAAGAAACCCATTATTTACTATAGATCACTATTGTGGTAACTTCAATTAAATCCCTGAACAAGAGCCCAGAAAAGTCTCGAAGAGCCCTATACCGAGGCCGGAGACCGGAAGCAGAACCGTTCTGGGATGTCACATAAAAGCGACATGGTGTCCATCTAGACCCTCCCAAAGCCTAAACCTTGAGAAACCCTAAACCCTTAAGGCCCTAAACCTTAAAGGCCCTAAAATCCTCAACCCCCCAAAAGCCCAGGGCCTGGGAGCCGTTGGAGTTCCGACCCCGGTTCGCCATGGACAGCAGACCCGGCCTCATAGCCAAGGTTTTGGGGGTTTAGGGGTTAGGATGGGTTAGAGGTTTGTGTGTTTAGGGTTTGGAGGTTTAGGGTCTAGGGTGAGGAGGTTGCCAGGTTTCGGGTTTAGGGCCAGTGTTTGGGGTTTTAGGATTTAGGTTTAGGTGTTAGGGTTTAGGGGGTTTTGGGGTTTTGGGGTTTTAGGGTGTTGGGGGGCTTAGGGTTTAGGTGCTTTCAGCTCTGAAACGGAGAGGCAACTCTGGTAGTGACAGGAGAAATAACAACAACCATGTTAGCACCTATACTCAGAGCAACAACAAGACTCGCGAACAATCACCATCATCATCAGCAGCAGCATCATGATAGCGATCATGATAGCAATCATGCAGAAACAACAGCATCAAGAAGAAGAAGAAGAAGCAGGATAATAATATTTACGGGTGAAGTGCAAGGGGCCTCACTGGGCAGGGAATAGGCTACAGGATCATGACCGTACCGTGAAATTCGTGTGGCAGCCACCGCCCCAGTGATCTGCGGAGATCGACTCTGGGTGCGGAGCTCCGTGTGGTGGATGCGGCCGTGCTCCCACTCGTCTCGGAAAGTCTTGCCATAGATGCTTTCGCCTCCTGCGCTCTCGCGGGCTTAGACTTCGAAGCCGGGAAAGACGCTGCAGTGGAGTCTGTACGCAAGAGATGCACTTCTCAACAAGCAGTCCAGGAAATCAGTTCATGTTGGGGAAGGCCGCGATGGTAACTGCATCAGTTCTCGTGCATGTGGCTGCAAAGGTCCTCTGCCATTGCCGTGGGTAATGTCGCCGCCCTGGCACATGAAACCTGGGATGATCCTGCCAGCACGGTCCAAGGGCCCGCTAGACTACCTAGCAGCAGACTCCCAACGGGCATGCGGCGGCTGCTCGAAACAATCGGCGAGAGAGCTGTCTGGAAGGCAAGACTGAGTACGTCTTCGGCCCAAGGCCCCCCGGCTCTGCATGCAACAGATCGCGTTATCATACTTCTCGAGTAGAAAATCTACTGAAGCCTAACTCCGAAGATCGACATACAACTCGCAACGCCCTGAACCCGAAACGACAACTTCCGAAGCGGCTCCTGTGGAAGGGCGAGCCCTTGAAGTGCCGTGTGGATCCAGCGAGACCGGGGCCTGCGAGGATTCTTTTTGTTTTTTGCGAGTGTTCTTTTAGTGAGTTTACAGGGCGATGTGGGCTGTAGACGTCTTGGGGACAGGGGATTCGGGGCAGGGCTTGAGGGCTTGCAGGGCTGTTGGGCGATCGAAAGTGTCGCTGCAGCCGATCGTTCCGCTGGTTCTGGTCTCCTAGCCCGTCTCCACACAGTCGCAGTCATGGCACGGGCTGAAATCCTAGCACGGGGTGCCGTGCAAATGATTTCTCTCGCTGAACACAGACTCGAACTTTATAAGTGCATAATCTGTGGACCGCTTGTCGGCTAAGCTTTAGAAACGTTTCCTTCCAGACTGCATCGGCAACCTGCAGCACGTACTACTGGAATAGATTGCTTCTTGCTTGGGCCTGATTCGCCGGTCGCCAGAGCACGGAAGTTTTCTACCGTCATCGGCGCCACCTCCTTGAAGAGTTCAAACCTCGTCATGGCATCCCACACCACTCGAGTTCGCAAGAAGTTCCAAGTAACGGCAAACGTCGGGACTTGTGCTAGGTGACTGCTCTGAGTGTCCACTCGGGAACTGGAGGCTGATATAATTGGGAGTTTCCGAAAATAGGGAACCCTAACAGTATAGTACCCTAAATAGTAGGATCCTTATTATAAGGACCCCCAAATAAGGTACCCCCTATTTTCGGAAACTCCCAATTCCTGGAGGGACTCAAGCCCCGGGACCGGCAGGGTTGCTGAACTTCAAGAATTTAGAAAGAAGGGGTGAACGGGAGGGGCTCCTTCCAGGCCCATGTCCGTTTGAATCATTCGTGAACTTCGCCATGACCTCACTCCAATTCAAATTTCAAGAGACAGATTGCGCAATTGTATCGCAGAACTCCTTGCAGCTAGTTTTCGTGCTTGCCTCCCTCCCTTCCTCCCTCCAAAGAACGGCGCTCGCTCGGTTTAAGAGTTTAGGGTGTGCATGGGCTTTAGGGTGATGGCTTCAGGGTCTCACTCCGGCCAAGCTCGCGGCTCAATTCTGCCCAACGCAGACCCCCCGGCCTGGGACTTGCGAGCACTGCGAAAGCGTCGGCCCAGCGAAGGCTATACCCTACCATTTTTCGACTATACTACAACACTGTATTTGAGGCATAGCTATATTTTTACCATATACCATATTGTATATGTAGTATAAGCTCCGTCTTGTGGTGCTCAAACTTCAAGAGCGCCGGGCCTCCACATCCATGAAAACGTGCGGATTGCCAGCTGCATGAGTGACGTGACTGACGGCGACGATGGGGCCCTGCGGGAGCGCCTTTGTCCTGGCTGAGAGCAACAACTCCGAGAATATACGATGATAGCATACTTTCGCACACTACAGTCACCTGCTTTTGCAATGATTTTGTGACAGCATATGATAGCATGTTGTAGTATATTCTATGAGATTAGATTCCATTATATTGCCATATTTCTATTTCCCCTCCCTGGCCCAAGAATTCGCCGGGTCCCGGTCAGCCACACCGCCAAGAAGCCCAGGAGCCCCACAGCAAGCAGGAGCCCCAAGGCCACCATGCTCCCCAAGGACCCGCCTCAGCAAAACAAGGCGCGCCCGGGCCGCTTTTTGAGGGCACTTTTTGAGCTCCGGGTACTCTGTAAGTAGGGTTACAAGTTGCACATACCCGTAGATTTGGCTGTAAGCAGTTATGACTCATGACTGCAGCTGCCCTACTTATGGGCACTAATGGCTAAGTTTCCTTGAACTCGCAGCTCCTGGTGGCTTAAGTCAACGCTCCACATCAACTCACGTCCAAAGAATCGCCTAGGGCACGACAGTGAAAAGCCTGAGAATTTCTATAAAGCCCGTATGCCATAGTAGAAACCCGGACAGCATTCTTTGGAGAACCCGCCGTTGCAAGATGCCTTTGCAGATCGTAAGTCTCGGACTGCCTTCTGCGTTGACCTGCCCAGCTTGTGACTGAAACCTGCAGCCCCTGCCCCTTATGACTACAAATAGTCACGGAGAAAGAGCGAGCCACAAGACAGACGGGGAGAGAGCGAGAGAGAGAGAGAGAGAGAGACAGAGATGTGTAGCAGAGAGGCAGCCAAAGTTCACCTTTTCCCGCCTCCAACAGCTCCAACTCAAACACCAGGACGGCACCAGGAGGAATGGGCCCAGCGCCTCTGCAAAGAGGTGCTGGGGGCGCTTGGAAGCCACAGGATGCCGGGGGCTCCTTATAATAATAATAATAACTATTATTATTATTGTTATTATTATTAGTATTATTATTGTTATGATTATTATTACTATTATTATTATTACTATTATTAATATAGTATAATATGCCCCAAAAAACCGTATTCTAATTGTTAAGGCCCCTATATTACAGGATATTATGCTACTACCTCTGTGCCGAGATGTGCTGAGTACCACAGCCCGTCGACGACTGACTTGCTGCCCTCTTCTTTTATGGCTTCCAGTTTTTGCGCCGTATCACAATTACAGGGGCTGCAGGTATCGGCAGGCCTCGATCACCGTACGCGAGGTGGCTCGGCAAAATAATCTCCCACCTGGACAGAACGGAAACTGTGAAGTGAATGCATCAGCCTTGTAGTCCCAATACCCTAGCAGTTAGCAGTACTTGATAATACACATTCGTACCCTCCTAAGGCCTCAGTCATATCCTACTAGTACGTCTTGGCACCTTTACAACAGTACCCGTTTAGTACTCCTATTACCCTCTAGTATTAACCCATGAAGAAAACCTATAATCGTACCCTTGTAGTACCCTCATAGGACCCTTACAGTCGCTGCCGACAATGACCTCGCCGGGGCACTTCTCGCCCGCTCGCATCAGCTGCAAAGCTTCCGACCAGCCGGGGACCACCTCAGACGGCCTTCGCGGATTCAGGAGATTCCGTGTCTAGGCGTTTAGGGCGAAGGGATTCAATGGTTAAGGGGTTTGGGGTTGAGGGGTTTTGAGGGTTAAGCAGCTCAGAGGCTTAGGGTGCACGCTGCGGGGCAAACGGGCCTGAAGATGACAGGATCTCCTCTGCGGTACCTGCAAAGGTCGATCCAACTACCCTTATAGGTGTTGCCAGGTTTAGGGTTTAGGGGGTTTATTGTTTAGGGATTTAGGGTTTAATTTTTAGGGTTTAAGCGGTTTGAGCTCACTGCCGACGGCTGCGCACGAGGAATCAAACTCCGTGCCGTCCACAAGAGTGCCCTTGTAGTGACACCTTCCAAGGCCAAAAGCGAGGTTCCATACCCTGTTATGATTGGCGGCTCTTGGCCTGGAGTCTTTCGATGGTTCTTGCAATCATGGCCCTGGCCACACTACAGAATGCAACATACAGCGGCATGACTACCGGCAGCAGCAGCAGCAGCAGCAGCAGCACCACTGCTGGCGGCACTGGCAGCAGCATCATCACCATCAGAGCCATCTTGAGCCGTAATCACAACCCTCGTCTCTTGCTTCTTCATGAGGCTAATGTTGCTCAGGTCCTGCTGCTCCTCGTGCTGCAGCAGTGCATCTCTTACAGCCCCACCATCATGACCAACGACTACACCAGCGATTCCTGCGGTGGGAGTAAGTGTAGTGCTGCCGCTTCTGCTGGTCGCGGTGGTTGTTGTAGCGCTGTTGCAGTCGCAGTAGCAAGTATGCAAAAGGGCAGCGGGGAGCGGCAGCAGCAGCCAGCTGCAGTAGCAGCCCGAATAGTAGGGACAGCAACTGCAGAGACAGTGGCCGCAGAAGCCCTAAACCCTAAAATGCTAAACCTTTAGACCCTAAAACCCTAAAACCCTGAAACCCTAAAAACCTAAAACCCCAAACCCTAAAACCCTAAAACCCTAAACCCTGAGCCCTCAAAGTTCTCCACTGAAGCCTCCGCCCCTCCCAAGCCTGCAGGGGTTGTTCGGGCCAGGCCTGCCGAGAGCTCAAGGCCAGTGAGAGCTGCGGAGCTCGGAAGCTACAGTATAAAAATACTAAATCATAATATACTGTATTATGATAAGATATACTATAATATACTCTGATATACGATGATACACTATAATATACTCTATAAAATACTATAATAAGCTATAATATACGATTGTATACCATATACTAATATGTTATTGTAGTATTGAATCCGAAAGGGTTCCGTGGGCACAGGGTCGCTGTAAAATTCTCAAGGGACCTCGAAAAGCTCGCTATGCCTTCGAAAGACGGTGCTTGCTCTTTTCTGGTAGAAGACCTTTAGTGGCTTAGGGCTTTAGGGTTTAGGGGATATCAAACTGTTGCTGAACTACAGTCCCATCTTAGCTAACCACGAAATTTCAGGAGCCAGGGTAAGCGTGCAGCCCGGTACATCCAAACCTAATGCCCGGAACCTCACCACGCCATCGCCCTAACTACCAACTCCCCTTCATTTCTCCCGGCGCCTCTCTCCGCCCGGGTTGCTTCTGACAACCTGCACTCAGAGTCGGCGAGACGGTCATTCACGTCATTCACTGCACAGGAGGTTCCACAACCACCCGGGCCGCCCTCAGTACTTTAACAGCCGTGGCCATCCGTAAGAATGTACCACCGGCAACATCATCATCATCATCATCGTCAGCATAGTACTATCATTGTTATTTGTCCTCGTCGTCGGCTTCATAGTCTTCCTCATGTCATCATGCACCATCACACGAACAGGATATAAGCCAGAACAATCCTCAGTCTGAAACTCACCGCCCCCCTGAATACCAGTAGTCTTCTGGGAATCCACAGTGAAGGAGTGGTCGTAATATAGGGAGTTGATAGTTAGAATAGGCTTTTGGGGCCCATGATACTATAATTATAATAAGGAACCCCCCTTATAGAGCCCTTATAGCAACCCTTATAGACCCCTAAAAAGGAACCCCAGGAATCCTATATTATGCATCGTATGCCGGTCCTTGTAGCGCAGGCCGGAGCTCGTCTCCTGGAACCCATGCCTCTCTGCAGATTGAGCAGTTTCGTCACTACTTGGAGGATCTTTAAGGGTACCTATAGGGGTCTATAATAAGCGGCTCCTTCAAGGGATCCTTAAAGGGATCTATAAGGGTTCTGTAGTGGAGGATCTTGGGACTTAGTAAGTAAGGCTATAAGTACCTTAATTGGAGTTTAAGTATAGTTACCCGTATCATAACCCGAGTTACTAAGTCCCATGATCCTTTAAATAGCTCCGTCTCAGCTGCATCGCATGGCACATCACGGTAGGCTGGAGCCTCGCACACACCGTGCTTTCGGGCGTGCCATGGCGTGCCTCTTGACCGAGTCATCCAGGAATTCCTCCTGCTTGGCACCGCGGAAGCGCAACGCCTGGGACAAAAGGCAATTTTGCATTGAACAGTTAATAATTCGTCGAAGAATCACCACCGGTTTATACTCCAAGCGTTGTACAGGGAAGTTAGGGTCTGCATGGTGGTTGTTACATAGGGCCTCATAGGGGCTTTGTTCCGATGACAACAGAAGGCAGAAAAGTGACCTCATTTTACATGACGAATGTTGGTTGCACCGGAAAGCTGGTGCCGGCCCACACGAAGAAGCCGTTCCGAAGAGCCAGCTCACTTGTCCAAAAATCCACAAGCTATACGCACTCAACAATGAACACTGCGAGGGAGCGACGCTTGCGCTCTCCTCGGTCGCCATGCCAGACCAGTGGCTTAAACTTAAGCACGTCTGGATTCTGAACCACCTGTAACATGCAACTGCTGGCAGGCTTGGGGTGTTGAGTGGCCAGGGATAGTATCCCAAGACAGGATGCCATGCGCACAGCTTTCAAAGTGGTGCAGCTGCGGGAATGCGAAGCACTTAGCTGCTAGCAGAAAGCGTGAACAAAACCGAACAACATTCACGATCTCACTTGATTAAGAACATGACTAAGAACGGATTGGCATGGGCGGCATGGACTATGCAAATGCTGGAAGGCTGCGAAAGAGTGCAGACGCTGTGCGACCGGTCACTGTTTCTGTCGCGCGCCGACAGCAAAGCAATCGCCAATCATGACTAGAGCTGCGCACGGAGCGCGCTGGTGGCTATGTACATTGTGACTACCATCATCTCTTCGGCCACTATGAACATCTAAAAAAACTATTACTAGTATACCATAATAAATACCTTGCAATATACCATCATGCTCTACTGTAAATATACTATGCCAGAATATACTGCAATGCACTAAAACATATGATAACAAGCTAAAGCATACTAGAACATACTGTGAAACATCGACTCACTACCATCTTAGCTGCTCGAGGCCGTGTGAAGAATAGGACCTGCAGGCAACCGGACTCTTTGCATCGATCGCCTCACCGCAACTACCGTAAAGACTTTTGGGGGTTTCGGGTTCAGGGTCCGCAAATATCTCCAGCACTGCCACAAGTAACCCTCGGACCCTCAGACGGCCTCCACACGACGCCACCAACGATTCCACCCATGACAAGCGCCAGCACGAGAAGTGCTTGAAGCCTGCCAGCGAGAAGGCCCTTGTGCGAATGCTGGACAGACATCTTTTGGTCGGATTCGGGGTTTGGGATTCCCATACCGAAGTTGCAGGCACTCTGCAGAAGGACGTCTCAAAGCAAAGCAACGAAATTGATCCACGCAAGTCCGCTGCTTCGTCATGACCTTTTCAGAAAACGCACGGAAGCTAAAAGGGTGTCTGAGGTGCAGTGCTGGACATCTCAGCATGCTACTCTGCTACTCAATGGCCCAGGTGGATGCTGAGCCGTGAAAATACCACCACACCTCCCAAGCTTCGACCTGTGAACATCCAAGTGAGCCCCAGAGCCAATCCAAACAAACCGCAACAACAAATCCCTGACTGACGGCCCCTTCCTAAACCCGAAAGGCTCCTCAGCTGCGACAGGGAAAGGGCTTCGTCCTGCACCCTCTGAGCTGGCAAGATGCCTCGGAGCGACGGCAGACCCGAGACCTCTACTTGGAGGTTCACGGGTAGTTATACGTGGGGTTATAATTAAGGCAACCATATTCAAAATCCATGTTGGCGGACTTATAACACCACTTATAGCTACCCATGAACCTCGATGTACCCGTCGAACCCAGAGGTCTTAGTTGAGATTTCAAAGACGTCCATCGAAATTGCAAACTGGAGTTTCCTGCACGATCATGAGTATCAGCAGTGACCCGAGAACTCGGTCCAAAGCTCCCAGAAGTGATCCAATCGGACTCCGATCTCAACTCCCTAACGTTGTTTTCCGCACATCTCGTCGCGATAACGGTCGCAGCTCTCAATGCAACTGGGGACTTCCACGTGATGAGGCTCTTACCTGGCCCGTTCTCAAAGGCGGACTGCACTATTCATTGAAAGTGAGCGCTGTCTTGGTTCAGTACCCAACAATGTCGACAACCACGGCTACTCGACATGATCACCAGATATCACCGGTACCATCATTCGTCGGTGCTCATCCTGTGCCCCTGGGCCTCCGGGGAGACATTGCAACCCCACGCTGGCAGATATGGTTCTTCCACGTCTGCTTCTCAGCCACAGCCCTTGGCTCCAGCCCCCCCGTGACGATCACGTACGATCATAATGACAGTGCGGTGAAGCGATGAAGCACAGTCTCCGTGCAAGCTCTTGTTTAGAACTCGCCGAGCTCATCCTCAGGGCTCAGACTTATAAACACTGCGTTCCGACATGTTCGCTCTTTCTCAGCCGCAGGCAGCTGGCCAGCGCGGCCAACACCAAAAAATCCAGCAATTGGTCGAACAGCCCCAGCTGTTCCTGCGCATGGCATATTGCAGAAACCGAAAAGTAAACCTGGATCGACAAGAGTCATCTCCTGGACTTGTCATAGATAAATGCTTTCTGATCGAAGAGTTCATTGTACCTGACAGGCAGAGCGCCAATGCAGCGGCATCACGCGCTTTTCGTCTGACTCTGAATTTGGGGCACTCGTCGTCATCCAGATCGTGGACCGGTATCCCGTCTCCCGTGGAGGTCTTCTTGGCCTTTGCTATGCCGCTTAGCAACTAGCCGACAACCTCCGGATACAATTCGCAGCCTCGATACCAATTGGATGCATGAGCTCCAAGCTACATGGTGTTCATACTGTGTTCATTGTTCTTCCATTCCAGCCCCAAGTCATTCCTGGAGGCCCCAACCGATAGCATTGTTAACCCATTTACCTTGTTCCAGCGCCGCCACGCACCGCACAACAGTCACTGTCTCACGGCGACCCACCATTCCTATCACCAGCTGCTGCTGCAGCGGCAATAATGGTCATACCTCCGGATCTTTCGGGGATATTGCCAGGACCTGGGAAGCAAATCCAAAATCCGACCGCCCAACGGCCCAAAGCCTACAGTGCCAACCCGGCGGCGGACTTGTGAGCTCGCCGCGGTCCGTCACCTTGGTCCGGCATTTCCAGAGCACGTGCTAGCTCCGGAATTCTGACACTGCCACGGACCTGCTCCAGGTCTATCCCATCCAGTGCGATATTCCGGGTCCTTTTTGTCTGACCCGGGTCTCCGAAGTAGCAGTACCTGGAATGCAAAATCGTGGGATGCCCACGAACGGAACTAAGTAGAACCAAACAGGCCCGAGCCACAACATCAAGATGACATTTACGACGGTGAGGGCAACTAAGAAGCCTTTCAAAGGAGCCTCGCAACCGCGTACAAAAACAGATCGGTGCCAAGAGAAGGTAACAGTAAGTAAGAAATAGTAAACAGTAAGTAGTCAGGTACGGCGGTGAGATCCTGCCTCGGCTTGGGGCCAAGTCTGCAAACTGCAGAGCCAAGGGATCTGCGCTAATGTTAGGCAGATTGAACCGGCCACCTTAACAGGTCCAGTGGTGCGTAGCTCGCGATCAGAACTTGCCGTTGTCAACCTTCTCAGTTGAGCGCCACAGACACACGCCCAATGCCTGCAATAAAACACAGTCTAACAGACGCCAACGTCGCTGCAGACAGGGCGGGACGGCTGGAGGCAAGAAGGGCTTCAGATCACCGACTTAGGCTGCCAGGGCCGCTTCTCCTCGGCCACCAGGCTGCCGCCCACAAGGTGGAGCGCCGAGGAGCGTGTAGGCGAAGCTCACTGTGTGCTCCGTGTGAATCCTGGCCAAGATCTCTTCCGCCCCGGCGAGGCGCCGAGTCGGGAAGGACCGGGGCCGCCCATCCACCAGGCGGTGGTTGTAGGCCATGACCAACGCCCCCCACTCGGCGAATCATAGCCCCAGTAGACGTACTCTTCCGTCCTCGCAGAGTGGTCATCGTCCGGCCCCCGAGCATCTGACATCTGACGCCACTGACTCTTCTGAGGCAGCAACGCTTCTTCCTCCCTCGCCTCGTTCAGGCACAACCCGTCGAAACAGGCACAGTTCCAAAAAGAGAGTGCCGTATCAACTGGCCGGAGTGGCTGACTCCTGCGCAGAGTCTTGAGACGTTGGCGTCCTTGGACGAGCAGGCCTACTACAAGCAGCGCACCAGCACGACCAACACAGACGAGGCTCGTTGCGTGCAGATTGGCCGCCGCCACAGCTTGTGATCCAGGCCTTCATGCTGCGCTCAAGTGACACGCCCGGGCTATAAGATTGGCACTGGGGAAGGACGACTCAGGACTTCGCGGCAAGAGCATTCCATACCTAGCATCGAAATGCATCGAAGCAAGAACAGTCAAAGCCCGTATTTGCGTGACTCGCTATGCAGTGGTTTGAGTCAGCGCACGTTGGCATCTGCTGTTGTGATGGCCAACCTGTCTCCAAGGAGTGCATGGCTCTCGAGCCCGCGACACTTGACTTAGCAAAGCCACGCTTCCACCAACAGTGCAAAGCCAAGGAGCTGCCGGCCCTCCACGTTGGCGGGAGGGACATGGTAAAAACAAAACAGTAGTTGCGTCAGCTAGCCAAGACTACCGACGGGCAGATTGAGGCATAGAGCTGCAGACATTAGGCCAGCACGGCAACGCCTCACCACAATCTAATGCTCAGATTGATGTCTCGCGATCTTTACAGTATCAAGCTTTTATCAGGCGACATTCGCCACACGCCTCCCTCAGAACAGGAGAGCTGAGCTGAAGGCAAGCTATCAACGCCAGCAGCACGAGCAGTGGCCTTGCAAAGCTCACTGCTCACAAGGACTCCGTGAAATAAACAGATGCTCAAGTGAAATCGGCGCCAATGCAGCTTGGTCCCCAGCCAATATGCAAAGCAGATGACGGGAAACAGCATGCCCCCAACGCACTTGAAGTCTCTTGCTGCCTGCAGGCAGCAAAGTCCACATCAGGAAATCGGGGATATTGCAGAGCTGACACACGACATACCATGTCTGGTTCAGTGATGAATTGCGACTCGTCACCAAGAACTGATAGCACGCCAGGGTTTCGCTACTGACTGTATCGGTAAGAATGCGCAGCTTCAGCCTCGTAGAGAAGGAGCAGCATGTCACTGCGGAAAGCTTGCGCCAGCTGCCCCTGCATCGAGGCCCATTATACAGGAGCGACAGGTCTTGTCGAGATGTTCTGTGCTTCCTGGTTCGACCTCAAACCGTTCAGCACCAGGTCTCAAAGCCATGCGGTGACGGTGGCATGTTGAATCATGCTGACTCCAAAGCGGATTGTGGCCAGGTCGTCAAGGGAGCATCTAGTTCGGATTGCACGGGTCGCACAGCATTGACTGCGATGGCGCACC